TTCGGACTTTTTCTGACTATTTCTGGGAGATAAGGAACGCGCATAATGACGACTACCATTGTTACTGGCGTCAAAGTTTTAGGCGTAATGGGTAAAACATTTGTCATTCAAGGAGTTTTACCATCGGCGTGGGAATACATAGAGCTGCAAGTCAACTCGATTTCAACATCAATTTTGGCAAAATTTTAGATTTTAGTGACCATTTTACACGGGCAAAATTCAATAATTTCGACGTTACCATGGCTGTGCTCAAAAATGCATCAAGCCAAAGCATTAGTCTCTTTTGTTTCCAAGCTAAAATTGATGGAAATGCCATATTTGCGCAACTAAGTACCAATTCGGCATTTAACCGTGGTTGCGCATAGTGGACATTTCCATCAATTGTAGTTTAAAAATAAGAGATTCTGATGCTTTGGCTTGATGCATTTCTGAACACAGGGCATAACCTCAGCACACCACCAAAACAGCTAAATTTAAGCCATCGTGCTGCTATACTAACCAAAAAAATTCATGAAACATTTATTCGGAAACTTTTTACTGCATCAAAAAACGCTCCATGATTCGTTCACAATAAACATCTGGAAACTTGCAAAGTAGAAAAAAGAGAAACCGACGCATATTTGTCCAAGCACAATAACAATGTCAACAGAGAGCCACGAATCAGCAATGTGGGCGACTAGCAACAAACGTACATACATACATTATTTATACAACCACCAACAAATGCCAAACCCCTAAGTAGAAGCTCTCGTTTGCTTGGTAGCGCAATCAGTCAATGGCCGGCCGCTGGATGTGCGAGGAAACAATTCGAGACAAATTTTTATTGGAAAAAAGTGTGCGACAAATAAAATAGTGGCACAGGTGTGGAGCATTAAGTGCTAGGAGCGGGTTGATAAAGTAATTCTAGACAAATGTAAATAACTGTGAAGTTTGTAGCGTAATTTAACTGCATTAAGATGGAAGAAAATACATATGTATAAAATGTGGGCTAAGCAAGTATGTAGCTACATACATACATATGTACATATATTTGTAGGAAAGCAGCCCTGCTAATTCGCAAAAACTTTTGCTAGTGTGCACTTCGCTTGGTTCCGCCAACCTATAGATACTGTATATACATACTTACATTCGTCGTTTAAAGCACAAAACCGCGTATCAACAAAATGCAAACCGCGTATGTGAAGTTGCATAAATTATTTTCTAGAGAGTAAAAAGACTCATTTTTCAAAATGGTTCTCTTTTTTATAAATTAATCGCATTTCTGGCGAGTATATTTTAGGACGAATGGATAAGGATTGAGCCAAGAGCTTTTGTGAGCAAATCCAATTTTTGGCAGCAAATGTCAGTTACGCGGTTTTGCAGAATGACAATACGCGGTTTGGTAATGTATGTATGAATGTTTGTGCATACCATGTGCCATAGCTAAAATATATCAATTGCATACGTCAGAAGACATTTCATTGTCAGTCTATATAAGTAAAATCGCCCACCTCCCTTTATAGTGGGAGCAGTGCAGCTAAACAGGAAAATTGTGAAATTTATATAAGTGCAACCGAACAGAGCAACACCTCAAACATGCTTTGCATATTAAGAATTCTAAGTTGAAAATATAAAAATATGTACATATAAATATAATAAATTCATAAAAAGAACCAGTACGCCAATTGATGGTCATTAATATAAATTGATATGAAGTGTGGAATGGCGCTTGCATGGGGAGAAGTGCGCACTATACTTTTAATACATATGTATGTATGTATGTAGTGTGAACTGTCTGTCATCGACGAATATACGTACATACTTACATACGATGTTATTTTTGAAGCTGCATATTCAAACCCAACTTGTTTTTATTAACCCGTTTGGACTTTGAACGAACGTACGTGTGCACCGCCAGTGGTGTGAGGCCACAGTTCGTACGCCAGTTGAGTTTTTCATTCCAAGCACCAAAGCATGGATAAAAATGGATAACCAAACAAGTTGAAATCAGATGTATCTACAAATGCGTGAAAGTGCTCATTTCTATAAAGCACTTTTAGCTATTTGCTGATAAAGATCTTTTTGTGTTCTATATCCGTTAGAATTTATTATATGATTAGAATAGAAGCTAAAATCATTCTCTTATCAAAAAAACACATGTTGTTCCAGTTTGTTGATAACAAAAAAAAAGAAAACAAAGTGATAAGAATGACAGCTGAATTTGACAAGCAAACAATAAAACGTCAATACAGTGTCGCAAAGCGTTTGAAGTGAATGTTTAAAATTTATTTGGAAAAAAGGGAAAAATTAAGTAATTTTGTATTAAATAAAATCCCTTTAACATGCATATGCTATGCTGTTGATGGGACCAAATGAATGATTTTCTGTTGCTGTTGCTGAAGAATTTTTGCGCGTTTAATATTTTAAAACTTTTGGATAATTATGAACTGAACAATATCAATGAAAAAGCATACCTAATTTTTTGCGAATTGAAATTTTTCGAATTTGTTTTTTTTTTTTTTTTTTCGAGCAACTGATTACATCTACATTGAATTACTGATTTATTTATATAGACAATTGTGAAACGGAAACCCCCTTTACAATTAAATATTGCAGATACCTATAAAATATAATATTTTTCTATTTATCACGAATCCTTAAAAAATCAAAGACAATTGACTCGGAGCATATACTACATTCCCTTCCTACAAAAGCTCTTCTAACCTTTCTGAGGATTGTAGAACCGAACGAGGTATTGTGATAAATAGAGAGCACAATAGATCTAAAGCTAAAGCCCCCTTTAATTACACTGTGCAACAAAATGAGACGAACAAAAAAAAACACGAATGCGGTCTGGCAATTATGAAAAAAGAAAGGCTCTAGAATAATTGCCCACCTAAACATCAAACTTTTTTTACAGCGTATTGAAGTTTTCCTAATATGATCTCAAGTTGATCTAAATTATTTGAAACACCTCGTATAAAACTACATTTACCATTGATTTCGCTTGTGGGTCGTTTTGATGATCCTAGTTTAGGTCAAATCTAGTAGAAATTTAAATCTCCGCCTTCCTGTGGACCCACGATTGAGAGAATACAAAGGTTGCGCCGATCTCGGACCGCTATTCCTCTCTTAACGAATTTGACAGAATCGTTGGTTGCATGACGTCACACTTGTGCAACTTGTTTACGTTTTTCTTGCAACATTTTTTCTTCTTCCATTCTTGCTCACGTTTTGGCATTTCTCTCTCGCAATGGCACCAGTGTGACGTTACACAAAAGTTATTCTCAAAAATCCTCTCTCATCCGCGCAATCTTGTATTTAGTCTGTTCCAATAGCATTCCGGTTTACAGGATTTAGTCAGAACTTACAGGCAGTCGTTCCTATTGACATAAAACCTGTAAGTGGGAACACATTTGAGAGAGTAACTGAGCAACTGTTCCTAGTCAGAAGTTACAGGATTTAGTCCGGAGTTTTTTTTCCTGTAAGTTCATGAAAAGTGTCAAACGATCAGCTGATTTGCATGTGCAAGCAAAAA